TATTCTGACAGTAAATTCGATTGCTGGTAATCTCTCCGAAATTCCATTAAAATCCAATGACGTTTCACCATCGATTTCAACAGCTACTACAACACAAACTTCGGCATTTGGTTTTATTTCCAAACCTGGTAAGCAAATTAAAAAATAAATTTGTCCATAAGTTTTTTTTTTTTTTGTAAAATCGAACTCGCGATATGATTTGCAATAGAATCCCATCATTCCTAAATCTCCTTAATGCAAAGCAAGCAAAAAATCGCCACGGGCGACTGAAAGAGTTTCAAGTTCCCCATTCGAAAATTCCATTCTATTCGAAAAATCACGCTCAAATTTAAATGAGTCTACTGTTTTTCAATTATCTTCGGAAGGTTAGTATAATAATTTTTAACTCAAACAAAGTCATTACATTTATATAACATCAGAATTTTTTTTTTAAAAAAAAAAACAAAACAAAACTATAGATATGTTATCCTTTTCTGTACCAAATAATGGACAGCAAGAGCCAGCATTCCAAGCTCAAAATCTTTCGAATTCCTTGAATCCTATGAAATCGCGTCGAATCTCTTCCAAAACCAATAAAGTCTCCCTTGAAGAGCTTGATATTAATATGGAATCGAAAACCAATATAAAGGTTGAAACAAATAATAATATGGGAAACACGGAATTAGAATTATCCAGGATGGAAGAAGAATTGCAGCAAATTCTCAATATACAATCAAACGTTTTCCAAAGGAAAAACTTGATTTATGAACAATTGGCTGAGGTATGGATATTTTGTTAAAAATTTTTTTTTTTTTACCAGGTCTAACCATTTTTAATTTATAGAACTTTGAAAGAGTTGAATCACTTGAAATAAATCAAACAAATGCGTTATCCAGCGAGGACTATGCTAAAGCAGATAAATTGACACATGAGATACAAGAAATTCATCATAAAATTAATAATTTGCGTGGTGTATTACCTGGATTGGATCAAACATTAAATGAATTGAGAGAAAAACAAGTTGATTATTTAAAAAGTAAGGCAGATATTCGTAGAATTTTAGAAAAAGAACTGAAAAAAAAGAAGGTGATAATTTGAACTTTTCATGATGGTTTTCTACTTTTGATTCTCATTAATTTAAATTTATTGGATTATTAGAATGAACACATTGAAGCTTGTAAATTATATGACGTCGATATCGAAAAATTACGTAATGTGGAAACTAAGAAAATAATTTCTGTAAGGGAAGAAATTGAGAAAGCAAAAAGGTTTGACGCCTTTATCTTTATAAATATAATTAAACCTATTATCAAGTTCTAAAGTGTGAATCTCATATTATACAGCGAAATTGTTTTTGATGAGGATCTTTGGAGTAAATCGGAGGCTGAACTGAATGAGAGGATCGAAGACCATTGTCGGGATGAAAAATCTGAACGTGAAACCCTCTCTAAAAAGCGAGAAGACATACGCGTACGCTTTAATTTAAGTTTGTACTTTATGTGTTTTCTTGGATATGATATAAATAAAAATTTATCTTTGTTCAGGCGGAAATAAAAGAACTAATGCTACGTATCGAAAGATTACGTGCTGATGAAAATGGTTATAGCAAGCAAATTAGCGATATAGATCTCAAAATAGGAAGTATCGCAAGTGAATATAGTTCCGAGAGGGAAGGTTTGTTGAGGGAGAAAAATGAGTTGGATAATAGAAAACGAGAACTTGAGATTAAATCTGTTAGTGTTTCAAGAATTTCAAATAAATGCTTTGAACAATTGTATATCACCTTATTCAATTTTTATTATTTTATAAAAAGGGGCACGTAGAAGAAATGGATAATCAATTGCATAATAGGCTTGATAATTATCAAAAACAACGCGAATTATCACAAGAAGAATTAACTTTGTTAGAAAAACGTATCGGAGAGATGGGAACTATGTCGAAGATTCATCGTGAAGAAGCCATTGAAATCGAAAAGTTGATAGAACATCTAAGGAGTCGTGCCCAAAGAAATCTGGATTGCGAAAAGGAGATTTCGGAGTATATAAAAATTACTCGTTTTATCGATATATTTAAGTTTTGTCAAATTAGATACTAAAAAAAATATATTTGTAGGATTCGAGCGCAAATGGAAAAATACGACGTTGAAGTTAGGAGGTTAACTTCTAAGGTAATGCACGATAAACAAACTTATTCGAATGTTCAGCAAGATATATCAACTATAGATACACAAATACCTGCATTGGAAGAACAAAAGATATTAGCAGCCGTTGGTACGTTTTAATATATGTTTCTATCTCACCATACTTCATGATTATTCAATTTATCTGTATATTTAAATATGTATTTAGGACGAGATTTCAAATCAGCAGCTCGTTTTGCTACTCGAATAAAAGATCTTCAATCAACTCGTGACGAACGCACTAAATTTTTGAAAACAAAATGCTCAAGTTTGGAGCAGGATCAGGAAGATTTAAAGGTGGCAAGAAAAAAATTGGAAGAATATCATTCAAAATTGATTGAAGTTGAGAAAAATACTGGTATAAACGTGATTAGTTTTATTTATATGGCATTTATCTTTTTTTTTTTGATTTTGAGGTATGATTAATACATAGTTTCATACTCGTAGGGTCAGACATGTTTGAGGAGTTAAACGAGTCACTCTTACAACATCGATCAAGATATGATGTGTACGTATTGGTTTACGTTTTTAGGTTCAGCTTTTATAATTTCATATTAACACTTTAATTTGTAGAGTCAGTCAGCGAAACTTTCCAATTTTAGTAAGTTTATTACGTAATGAAATAAAAGGATTGGAATGTTGCATCAATCAAATTAAAGCAAGATATGGACTTTCGAATTCAAAAATCCAATCAAATCAATTGGAAAATTTTCAAGAAGTTATTGTGAAAAGTAAAGGTAAATATTTGTTTTTTTTTTTTATTGATTTTATATATATTTAATTTAATGATATATTTATCATATAACAAGTAGATTTCAACGAATCAACCAATTTAATCGGTAATGATTCAACCCGACTTGAGGAACTAGAAGCAAAATTACAAGAGGCCGCAAGTCGCGAGGATTATGTTCTTGCAGGTAGAAATTAAACTATTGCTGTTCCTTTTTTTTTTTTTTATTTTTTAATAATTGATTAATTATAACCATTCTTTTTTTTTTTTTCCTCAAAAACATTATTTATAGAACAATTACAAAATGAGATTAACAGTTTGACCTCAGACAATCAATGAAGTGATATATATATTATGCAGTAAAACAATATTTAATAGTGGAATATTTTCTTAATAAATATATATTTAATATTCAAGGGTCAAGTTTTATTTATAACCCGGGTTTTTAAATCATAAAATCATTATTGTTCATATTTATTCCTCATATTGATCACATCCTGATAAAGATCCATATCCATGAAATCGACATTACGAAAAATACGCGCTTCCAATAAAGGATAGTTTGTCCTCTGTATATCAGCATTGATAATATCTTGAATTTTTTGCGGAAGTTGATAAAATTTCGAGACAGAATCATTCTAATTTAAAAATAATTAAATATTAAAGTACTAAGAATAGGTATTATTTAATTAACACTCACATCATTTATCAACAGACCAAGGAATTCAGCAATTTTGCATTCTTTATATGGTTCATCTTCGACAAGCTTTGTATCAACAATTAAAAAGCAATTTTTTATTTTGAATTTTTCGTGTAAATGTCCTTCGCGCTGTTTCTCTTTATTGCTTGTATATTTAATATTTTGTTCAATTACGGCTATATTCTTGGTCGTGTTATGATAAATTAATCTAAAATTAAATAAGGGTGTAAAGGTTCGCGTGGAAACGCGTTTTTTTTTTTTTTTTTTTTTTTTGTGGTGGAAAAAAAAACTTACTTCCCAGCAATTCGAAGATATTCACCAAACCAATTTTTCGTGTTATTTTCAATTTCATCCAACAAAATTATTTTACCGGGGGGATAACTGGGATAAGCCATTATTTGAAATTGAAATTTTTAGAGGGAAACTGCAAAATCGTATTCATATTGAACAAACACAATTAAATTATCCAATGAGAAATATATCATCATTCGATCTAAAAAGTTTATTGATTCTGATGCATTTTGATAAATATATGTTTTTAATTTCGATATCTAACGCTTCAATTGCTTACACAAGGGAGAAATTTCTTGGCATTTAAAAGTTCGAAACTTCTCAAGGTAGGCAACAGGTAATATTTAGAAAATCTATAATTTTTTCTTTAAAAAAAAAAAAAATCTCGAATGTAATATATTATATTAACATTGATCCATTAATGAAGGTTACATGCAACTTTAATACTTTAATTAAAAAGTAAACGCGAAACGTACGCGACATTTTTTTGTATGATTTTTTTTTTGGTTATCTGATTCAAATTATAGCGGGTAAAATCGGTAAGTAATTAATTCGGTTTCACAATATGGGTCAAAAAAAACAAAGTTGCATTGACCAACAATCATCCATCTAAAAATTACCCGTCAAAAAAAAGTTCACCTGTGTCCCACTTTTTTTTTGAATCAATCTTTACTTATTGTCCTTATCAATTACCAAATAAATACAAGCATTTTATTTCATTTCATTTCATTTTTTTTAACATTTAGGCAAATCATTCTACAATCACTAAATCGGAACGTTAAAAAAGATTTCACATGATTAAAAATGAACGTTATATAATTGACTATTAAGGTACCTAAATTTGTTTAGTTGATCATTTGAATGATAAAATCAAAATAAGAATATAGGGCCAAGGGAAAAAACGTTCGGTGTAGGAAAGGTTTTATGGAATTGTTATTCCGAATAAAGTAACAAAATGATTGCTTGTGCAACCTATAGGTTAAGTTGGAAAAAATTGTTATATGTTACCGGCATATTTTTGATGATCTACTATAAATTTTATTGCATATTATTTTTTTTTTTTTTTCGTCTCTATTCCAACTGAAATTTTTTTTCCTTGTACTTGAAAAATAAAGCTAACCATGGGGGAGAAAGCTACGGGGGTAAGCTAATAAATTTTCTATGCATATCAAACCCAAAGTTATTATAAACAAAATCTTGAGTCATAGATGAATGAACTGAAATATAATATATGTATATATGATATTTTATTTTCTGTACTTTTTAGGATTTAGATTCCAGAATAAAATCTATCAATGAAAAAATTAAAAAGGAGGAACAAATGCGGCTAGCTGCCGTACGGGTAAAATCCTCTACTCAAAACTCTATGGTTCAGGCTCAGGCTGAACAGAATATAGTAGATGCATCTAGACATATTGTTTATTTAACAAAAGAGTTAGAAAAGTTACACGTGAAACAGAGACACGGCTCAAAGTATCTTAATCAACAACAACAACAGCCAGGTCATTCGGGTCAACCGGGTCAATATGGTGGTGGTGGATTTCAATCACCATCACAAACGTCGCAATTTACCTACCCAACATATCCACCTACTGGTGGTTTTAATAATAACCAACCACAACCACGCTCCGTATCCTTGAATCCACAGATTACTCGTGAAGATCCAGAATCAATACCTGCTGTGGGCCGCAAGACCGCATTGTCCAATTTGGGTGGGATTTCGTGGCGAATTCTCTTCTTTTTTTTTGCGCCAATGAATTGAATTGTTTGCATCGCCACTAAAATTATAATTGCGAACCATTCGACTGATCAAGTGTGTTCGCCGGATACTTTCTACTATCAACAGACCTCATCAAATCGGATACGCCCATTACGAATTTGAAGGTATCTCTGAAACTTCATGAACTCGAGTTTAAACTCGGTGTCGAACAGAAACTTAAAGAAGGCTCGGAAAAGATGATGGAAGCCGTAACTTTATCAAATCCAAAAGACAGGAAAAGCATTCAAGAAGTGACGGTCAAAACGGTGGAAAGTCAAGAGAAACTTTCAATATTAAAGAGATCTTTACAAAAATATAAACAATTATATATTGGTGAAGATGATGATGATGAAGACGGTGAGTTTTTTTTTTTAAAAAAAAAAAAGAATGGTTATTGATTTAAAAAGCTTATGCCATTCGTTACCTTGATAAAATGCTGGCAGATGGCAGAAATATATGATTTTGTTAATTTGATATAAAACCGACTCTTTAACTGAAAGAATGACAACTCGGAATTTCTTATAGAATTCTATTCTTATTAATCAAATTACACTTTTACTCCAATTTTTAATTTATACAAATTTTAATCTGTCAATACTTTAATTAAAACACATTATTAATTGAAATGTAGAGGACGAAACCGAAAGGACAATTAGGTCCAAACCTGGATTGCGACGTCCTATTACAGGAAAGTTGGATATTCGTATCCTACAAGCTCGAAATGTCCCTCATTCACCCTTGCGTACACAAGGCAAGCCTCCGGACACCACCGTAATGATCAATATTGATGGTACATCGAAAGCCAAAACACGTGCTGCACGCACTGATAAATGGAATGAAGATTTCGAATTTCATATAGAAAAGGCAAGTGAAGTTGAAATAACGTTATATGATAAGACTTCGGAACAACACCAAGTACCTATTGGTCTATTATGGATCAAAATCTCGGATATCGCAGAAGAGCTTAGAAAGAAAAGAATTGAAGCTGAAAGTGGTCCCGGATGGGTCACGGCTTCGAATGCTCAATTTGAAATGCAGAATTCTCCAACGACTAATATGAATAATGCGTATGGAGATGCTTATAGCGTTCCATATTCTGAGGCTCAATCTCAACAAGGAATTGGGACGACGGTTTTGCATGACGGCATTGAAGCTTGGTTTGAAGTTGAACCAGCTGGTCAAATACTTCTCAAATTAAACTTTGGTAAATTTACTCCCTTATTATATATTTGAGAATAAACTAATTATATTAACTCATTATTAATTATAATGAATGAATCAGTTAAGGAGAATGCTCGTAAGAGACCCGCAGAACTTGGTAGACAAGGTGCCTTTCGTAAGAAAAAGGGCGAAATACATGAACAAAATGGACATAAATTTATTCAGCAGATATTTTATCAGGTTATGAAATGTGCCTATTGCGAAGAATTATTCGTTAATGAAGGTTATCAATGTGAAGGTGTGCATATATGTCAAATCTTTTTTTTTTTTAATAAATATTTAAACTGACTGAAAATTTAAATACCCTTTTAGATTGTAAATTAACATGTCATAAGAGATGTTACTTAAAATTTGTTACAAAATGTATATCCAAATCTAATGCTGAATTGGTAAGTAACCTTTTTATGTTTATCTTTTGGTGAATTTTTAAATATGTAAGATATTTAAAAAAAAATTTCCCCTCATTAGGATTCTGATTATAAACAACTCAATCACCGTATTCCGCATCGCTTTGAAGTTATAACTAACATTACAGCTAATTGGTGCTGTCATTGTGGTTATCTGCTTCCATTTGGAAAGAAGGGAGCCAAAAGATGTTCTGGTGCGTATGAATACGATCCGTATATAATAGTTTTACGATTCATAATTTTTTATTGTTAATTTTTATTATAACTATTTTTAAAATATTTAATTAATACAGAATGTAACATTACTTGCCACGCCAAATGTACTCATCTTGTTCCCGATTTCTGTGGAATGACTATGAAGCGTGCTAGTGAAATGATCGATCAAATTCAAAATGCTACAAGGATTAAATTAGTCCACGCTGATAGTTTTCCACCCATTACCAATGAAAAAAGTCCTCAGAAATCACCAATTCAGCCATTGCCTCCATCACCGCAAACATTTGTTCAGCCGACATATCCTCCACCACAACCACAACCATACCTTCCTCGAGTTTCGGAGAATAATTATAGTCAACCTCCTGTACAGCAGCAACCTCAGTATAATCAACCAGCTCATATGCCGGTGACACCTTCACCGGTTATTTCAAAATCTCCTCCACAAGTATCCAACGTTCCTCCACAACCCGTTCCTGTTCAGCTTCCAGTAGTAATATCACCCTTCTTTCCTTTTATTTTTTTATAAAAAAAAAAAAATTGATTTGTCTAAATGTGTTTCCATTTTATTACTCGAAATAGACCCTGCCTTCACCAATTCCTCCGAGTAATCAGAGCGAATCCATAATTCAAAAGAATCGTAAAGTTGGTTTAGATGATTTCAATTTCCTTGCTGTTTTGGGCAAAGGAAATTTCGGAAAGGTTTGTTGATGTATATTTCATAAGTTAATGAATAAACTTTTGTTAACGTTAATTTCGTTATAGGTTATGCTTGCTGAGGAAAAATATACAAAACAACTTTATGCTATCAAGGTGCTTAAAAAAGAGTTCATTATTGAAAATGACGAAGTAGAAAGGTACATTATTTCAACAACATTATTTCAACATCTAATCATATTAAATGACATACATCAAAATGGTTCTAACAATTGATATTTTATTATCAATTTAAGCACGAGGTCTGAAAAGCGTGTGTTTCAAGCCGCCAACCAAGAACGTCACCCATTCTTGCTTGGTTTACACTCGTGCTTTCAAACAGAAACTCGTATTTACTTTGTTATGGAATATGTCAGTGGTGGTGACTTGATGTTGCATATCCAAAGAGAACAATTTACTTATCGACGAGCACAGTAAGTTTTTTCTTTTTTTTTTGAAACATAGCTTCATCACGACGGGGTGTTACAATTTCATCTAAATTTCTATCAAGGTTTTACGCTGCTGAGGTCTTATTAGCTTTGGAATATTTGCATAAAGTTGGTATTATATACAGAGATCTCAAGCTTGATAACATACTGTTAACATTGGATGGACACATTAAGATTGCTGATTATGGTCTTTGTAAAGAGGAAATGTGGTGGGGTCATACTACCAACACATTCTGTGGAACACCGGAATTTATGGCACCTGAGGTATATTGGAAATTTTTAATAGAATTTTTTTAACAATTAAACTTTAATTCAATATTATTTATATTAGATTCTTTTAGAACAACGATATGGTCGTGCAGTTGATTGGTGGGCTTTTGGTGTTTTAATTTATGAAATGCTCCTCGGACAATCACCATTTCGCGGTGATGACGAAGACGAAATATTTGATGCTATTTTGGAGGATGAAATTCTCTATCCCATTAATATGTCAAGAGATTCTGTATCAATATTGCAGAAAGTAAGTTGTGAATTGTACCGTTACAACATGATGTTTTTATGATAATTAAACCTAATGGCTTGTCAAATCCTATTTTTTAGTTGCTTACTCGCGATCCTGAAAAACGTCTTGGATCAGGACGTGGAGATGCTGAAGACATAAAGCGACACCCCTTCTTTAAAGGAGTGAATTGGGATGATATGCTTGCGAAGAAAGTCCCACCGCCTTTCTATCCTTCAATTGTAAGTAAATTTAATATGATTCTTTTTCCAATTATATTTTATCAACATTATTCCTTATACGCAATTTCTTTTTACGAAATGTTTAGTCATCACCAACAGATACATCGAATTTCGATGATGAATTTACACGTGAAGTGCCCGTCCTTACACCTGTTCACAGTCATCTAAATTCTGAAGCACAGGAAGAGTTTAAAGGATTTTCATATGTTTCAGAGTGGGTGGTTAATGGTTAAAGATATAAATAATTTAAAGAAGCTCTCGAGATTCATTTATTTTTTTTTTTTTTAAAAGAAAAAATTTATTTATTTATTTATTTTTACAGTTGTGAGATGGTTCCTTTTTATTTTTTTTATAAACTTCATTTATTTTTTATCATGTATTTTTCAAAAGAGAATTTTTTTTTTATTTTGTATTGTTATCTAATAGTTACGTACATAGTTTTATGTACAGCTGTATTTATTATATATTATCAAATCATTTAAATCATTTAAAGGATCTAATAATTTTTTTAACATATATAAATCTAACATAAATTAGTTGATTTATTTATTAGATGGGATTTATCTAATGATGACCTTCAAGTTAATAGCGAATAAAATTTATATCACGTGATTGACGAACGATTATTTATAGCCGTATTTCTAAAATGCGTTTATAATTTCATTTATTAAAAAATTTTATAGATAGATTTAAAAAGAAATTGGTTATTATAAAGATTCAATATTAAATCATCGTTATTTTCTAATTGGTTTATTTTAATGTTTTTTAAATAATTGTTAATATATGGCACACTTTTTTTACCAAACGATTTTAAATTATCAATTAATTACAAAATCAGAAAGAATATATTATTTAAAGATTTATATAGAAATTCAGATTTATATAATTTTTTTTTTTTTTTTAAAAGTACATATATATATAAATAAATACTTCCCCCAAAAGTAGAATTAATTTGTAGTCGTGCTATTTAATAAACTAAGATAAGCGGTCCATAAAACACCTACGGAGCTAACAAAAGGAACTCTATACCTTAATGGTAAAAATTTGAAGTTGACAAATTGAACTAAAGGCCATACCGTATAGTTTGTTTTTAAAGCGGGAAGATAGGCCTAAAAAAAAAAAAAATTATTTACGAAAAGGGAAAATAAAGTTTTAAAATAAAATAAAATAAAAAAATAAAATAAAAAAAATCAATATTATAGATAGATTGATACCTCTTCAAATTTTTGTTTAATCCCCTTAAAATCTTTACCTTCCAATATTCCAATACTACCAAAAAATAAAAATAATCCAAAAGGTGCAAAACCAATTTGATCCAACAGAACCCTTTTCAAAACCATTTGATTTTGCCCTATTAAATTCTTTTTATTAAACAAACGTTTTTGTGATGATGATGGTCGTATATCATTATTATTAAAAGGAAATCTTTTATCAAGGAATGTAAACCATGTATGAATTATCGGTGCAATTGAAAATCCATAAGTTGTAAACCTTCCTAAACGAATGAAATCAAATGGTTGATATGAAGTTTCGCTTTGAGATTTTGGGGGTCGATGTAATGTTATTAATTGTGCTAATATGTCCGAAGTTGCAGCTAAACCTGCGTTTGTGAATGCTAACGTTATTGAAGGATGACTTTGAAATTTTGTTGAATAAAATCGATTTGCTAATACAAATATATGTGCCATGAATTTCTCTTGAAGGAAAAAAAAAAAAAAAAGAGTTAATTAATTATTTAATTAATTAAGTAAACAAAATAATAAGTAAATCAAAAAAGAAAAAAAAAAACAAAAAGCGAAAAAAAAATTATCGAACTGATTTTTTATAGAAGCCGAATTTATTGCATGTAATGAGATCATTAATGAATAATGTTTACATCACTCATACGATGCATAGGCAATTTATCCACTTCTGCGTCATAATATGAAAATACTTGTACTTATAAAAACTACTTTTTCCTCGAAATAAATATTATCATCATTATGTTGGGAAACCTAGATACGGAAAGTTGACAAATGAAAATGATTATGGTAAATTTAGCAGTGGGATTTCGCTATCTTCGAAATTTTTTTTTGAAAATTGACAAACTGTGACAGTAATACCCAAAGAATTACCATTTTTGACTTAATCTCTATCTATAATTTAGATTTCTTTCTTATTACCTGTTTTAGTCAATAATAATGATAAGCGTTTATCATTACAAAGTTATGTCAAATATATGTAATAATGGATTTTTAGTTCCTTATACAACAATTAATGATGTAGAAAATATAAAAAATTAATTTGCTATTATTAGGCGCAGTAATCGGTGAACATGTACTGGTTATTTCACGGGAGATCTTATCACGGCGTAGCCGTGATGATAATGAGATCGAGGAAATAACTAGTACTTATCTCAGGGAATTTCTAATTATGAGCTCAAATAAACTCGACCCATTTCACCGTGAAAAATATCATTAAAAAAATCAACGGCGTTAATTAGGAATCCATGAGATAATTAATAAATTGTTTATGCAACATTGATAATTTTTAGATTTATTTATAAACGTACCGATAGTGTTTAGAATCACGAAAGAATCATTCGAATAATTCGAGTATTCGAATAAGCTTTGCCACTATTCGAAAATTATTTTTCAAAATTATTCGATTCAAATAAATCTATAATAAGAAAGAAAAAAAGAACGCGATTAACATCAACTCAGCTATAAATTGCGAAATAGATTCGGGTATGTAAGATAACTCAGATACCTCCTGAAAAAAAGGTATATGTATATACTTTTAAAATTCAATTGTCTGCAATTTATTGCATACGTATAACTTTTTAATTTTACAAGAGCAATTAAAAAAAAAAAACTCATTATTTCATGTTAAAAATGACAAAAAATTTATTATTATTTGAACAAAAAAACAAATTACAACTACAAGATATATAAGAGCTCACAAAATTCAAAAACCTAAACCGAAACCGAAAAACTACCTGAATTAAAATTAGTAAACTAGTACCCAGGTTGCACGACAAGGACGTCAGTACTAATCACAAACCCCCAAAAACTGAGCTCTCTACACCAAGCAAAGTTCTCGGTCTATCTAAACCAACACTTCCAACGATGCATGAGAGAAGAGCCTTTGGGTTTCTATCTAATTTTTATATATATATTTTTTTTTATTCCCTCTTTCATTTATTTTCTTTCATGTTCAAGTTTTCCCACTTGGCGGTTTGTTATTCCCAGTTCTCTCCTCTGGGCGTTTGGTTCCTAGTTATTTCTTTTGGAAGTTTGGTAACCAATTTCTATCTGGTGAAGCTCAAAGACCGTAAAAGGAAGGCACATAACCGGAACCTCCTCCAGAACCAGTAGACCTTTTACGGCTGTTTTTCAAAGAACTATTGTGAAAGAAAAAGTTTTTTATACATGGGAAATAAAGTTAAAGGTTTCTAAAAGAGAGGTGACACAAAAACAGAATGTGCTTGCGAAAGCGAAAGGAAGGAGAAAGAGAGAAAGAACAGGAAAGGAAATGAAAAGAAAAAGAAAAGGAAAAAAAGAAAGGCAAAAAAGAAAAAGAGAAAGGAAGAAGAAAAGGAAGGAAAGGGAGAGAACAGGAAAGTGGTAAAAAAAAAATTTTTTTGCGAAGACGTAGCGCGGATATTACCAAGAAAGTAGGATTAGATAAAAAACACGAGATTTTTGCGATATTGATCTTTCTAAATATGAATCCAACAAATTAGCCAATCAGAATCCAAATCTAGCACATGATTATCTTTATAAAAATATATAATTAAGAGATCATGTACTGGGCAGACTGAAAAACGTAACTTATTGGTAACAATTAAGTTTAGCTTAAACTCGTATTAATTTAAGAAAGTTTTAATTAAATACATTTTTTACAAGTCAAAAAAAGCATTATGTTCTTTTTTTAAATCTTATTTTAGTATTTATTCATAATCTAAATCTTTAAGTCAAAAAATATAAAGATTCTCAAAAATATATTCTTATTATATTCAATTTATTATATAATAACTAATAAAGGGATTACTTCTTTTATTCTTTATGAAATACTTTTAAAGATTTATCTGTTATAAAGTTACTTTATCATTAATAAATAAAATAAATATGTTCAAAAAATTATTTATTTCAAAGTTACTTTATTAATAACAAATAAGAAGCAACTTCTCAAAAATTATAATTTATATCTAAATAAATTTATTTTTTAAAGTTACTTTTTACATAATAATTTTTTGAAACTATTTATAATAAAATTTTTATACTAATTATTATTTTATTACTAAAGAATTATATAATAATTATCTCATTTCTCTGCAAAATTCATATTAAAATAAAGTAATATTATTAATTATTTTTGAAATAATCTTATAATTATAGCTAAACAATATTCTAATTATTACATTAATATATTGTTATTATTTGATTATTAATTAATTATTCCATTTATTTCTTTAACTTTTTTCTTTTTTCTTGGTATTCTTAATTTAGATTTATTATATATATTATCATTATTAATAATAATATCATTTTTCTTTATTGATTAATTTATTTAATACCTATATCATATTTAAGTTGATTATTTATTTGCTAATTTTTGTAAATCATTTATATTATACTAATTATTTATAAATTATTTACTGTATTACATATCTTAATTATGTAAATTATTTATAGATTATCTTTTACTATATTATAATTTTTCTTTGATAATCCTTTAGATTACAATAAAATTACTACAGTCAACTCTTGTTATAACGAACTCTATGTCCTAGACCTCAACTTCGCTATAAGGCTATAGTGAAGATTTTAAGAGATTTGATTGGGCAATTCGCTATAACAAGAGTATTTTTATTATATTTGTTCAAAAATTCGTTATATCAAGAGTTCGCTATATCAAGAGTTGACTGTAATTATAAAAATATATAAAGAATAAAAAACTAAATAATAAAATAATAAAATAACTTTTCAATAATACAATTAAAAAGAAAATAAAAAATTTATAATTTTCATTAATATTAAGATTAATAAAATATAACATGTAAAATTTATTCTACATTTAGTACTTTTAAATTAAATTAAAATGAGATTAAAAGTATTTAAATAACTTTTATTATATTATTTATAATTACATGATTTTTGCTAACTGATTAATCTGTAGATTATAAAAATAGCACTTTTAGGTAAAGAAATTAATTTTTTAATTTATAGTATAATTATATTTGATAAAAAAA